AGTTTCTTAAGCAGCTAATAATCACTTGTGTTTTCCACTGTTCAACAGAAACGGCAGAATTGCAGAGAACGAGACACCGCTTCTTAACGGTGCAACAGGCGGTCACACCGACCAGCGATTTGCCGGCACCGCACGGAAGCACTATCACACCAGAGCGGGCCCTCCCGTTGCCAAACATTTTGCGCAAACTCTTCTCCTGATAGGGTCTGAGGAATGCGGTCGGCCTTAAGTCCATACTAAACACAGTGAGAGTTAAATCAATCAATAAAACCTTAAGCTTAACGCCAAATATCATCAAAAATTACTTGATATCGGGATTCAATGTATCGTTTTTAAAGTCATATTCGGCTAACAATGGATACTCCAATTGAATGCAACGCTTCTGGAGATTCTCGATCTCCGACTGATTCACTTCAAAGGACACAATCTTCGTGTCGTCCGCGTCGTCGTCGTCTCTCTCCATCTTCTCGTAATAGTTGGCGATATCGTCGGGAACTTTACTTAAATCCTCGCCCTCTTTGGCCGCCGCGCCGTCCGTCCCGTCGGCGGCTTTACTATCACTCGCTTTATTGTCCTTCGACGAGACAATGAGCCCGTCGTCCGCTTCGGTGTCCGCATCGCGTCTGAGCCGACAGTTCTGTATTTCGGGATCTTTTAGCAGCTTTTGTATCACTTCCTGTCATCAGTAATACAGACAATCATTAAGAAAATGCATTAAAAATATAACCATAGATTCAACGCTTACAGCAAACGGCGATTCAACAAAATATCGGTTGTGTTTCAACACTAGTTTCACTTTACCATAGCTTATGGTACAGAGCTTTAAGACAAAACGTTTTAAGAGACCATTAGTTCAATTGAAACAATCAATTCAACGGCAAAACTAATGCTTACATTAATAAACTCAACGATTCCGTCAGGAATTGTTGTTTTACTCAAACGCCGCAAATATTCAACAATATCTTTGGTCTGAAGGCCCACAGAGACGGCCGCGTAGAGTGAATACGCGGTCAGTTTGTACTCATGCATGTGTTCGGGACGGGAGACCGGCTATGGATTGGCGACCAATCAAATCAATCAATTAGTTATGACAACAAATGACAAAACAAGACAATCGGTGGCAGAAATACCTCAGCGATGGCAATGAGGAAGTCGTGGGCGTGTTTATAGACGGGCGAAAAAGTCTCGAGAAATATGTGTCCGTCGGGTGCGACCCAAAGCGGACGTGACATATAGTCGTCGCGCAGAGTCACGTCTAACGTGTAGTCTTTGGCGCCGAACTCGTCTTCGCGGACGCCCTCCGCTATCTGACGACTCGCCGACTCCGGCATTATGTCTACAAGTGGTCAACAATCATAACAAAGACATTACTCAACACATCCCAAAACACATGCACACAATCGACTGGTGCTGTCAATGTCTTCCTCACCGGTAGTCTCATTGTTGTCGTTGTCGTCGTTCACGTCATCGTTGGTGTTATTATTGCTGTTATTATTACTCGAATTGCCCTTTGATTTCAATTTATAATAACTTTTATCTGAAAACAAACCCAAAAATAAATTGTAAACAAAATTAATGCCAAAAACATCGGCCAAAACGTGACCACAAGAGAGGACAACAGACAAAACACACAAACCTTTGCGACCCATCGGAGGGGCCGGTAGTCTATCGGCCGAAACGACAGACAAATCAGACAAAAATGTAAATCAAAAGACAATTAAATGACAATTAATTGCAATCAAAACAAAAGCCAAACGAATCGTATGGCAAACGATGAGTGAATGGTTGCGAGAAAACACTGTTTTGGGCTTTAAATGTGTTTATTATCGCACAAACAACTGGTTTCACACATTCGGGTTCACTTTAACCATAAACAACGTCGGGTTTAAAACACCCAAAAGTTAACCCAAACTCACACAACAACAACACACATACACTTTGCTGTAAAACCAGATTAAATACATTAAATGCAATCAAAATGTGAACACATATTAAACTAAAAAGTGATTTAATAATTATAACAAAACATAAAACTTATAAACATATTTCGGGTTAAACTACACGTACTATACATCTATGCATTGAAACCGAAGTTTCGTAACTATTTTCCATACGGAAAAGCCATTGAAAAGCTATACATCTTTACTGACATAAAAGGGACCAAAAGTGACGCAAACGCTATGACAGTGTGTTTTGGCGCCCAAAAAGTGGTCTCAAAAACAGTCAATAAAAACACAAAACAATAATTGATTTGCTTTTGAAAACACTATTAATTGTGTCCCAAATCGGGTGATGAGTGAAGACAAGGCGATGGCCAACACATCGGCCACCACAACGGCGGCCACGGAATCGTTGGCTTTGGAATCGGTGGACAAGATGTCTGAATACCGCAACGATTTCATCGACTTCTTCCTCAGCGTTTACGGCAAACAGTTTGACAAACGGTTCCGAGAGGTGACCGACGCGTTCGCCGCGGAGACAGAAGCGCCCGAAAAGGCGGACCGATTTCGGGCGATACGCGACCAACACATGAGACAATGCGAGGCATCTCTTGAGAAGCGATTGGACGCCGAGTTCGCGCGACTCTTCGGCGACCAGTCGGTGATCGACAAACTCTTAACAGACGTAACAACCGATAAGCCGGTGGACGACGAGTTGCCCGCCATTCAGGAGGCCCTCCGCCCTGTGAAGCAGCAGTTTGTGGATCGGCTCCAGAACTTGGAGCGACTGATGGACGAACGGCTCGACTCCAAGACCAACGAGTTGTCCGAATTGACCGAATCGGTCGCTCAGGCGTTCACCGAATACGAGGCCAAACGGAAGTCGCTTCAAAAGGTTGGCTTTAATTGCGGTTTTGTTTATTGTTTTGATTGTATTTTTTTTATGATAATTGTTTTCACCCGTGGCTTAGAGTGTCTTAAAAATGGTCAACAAATTGGAAACAATCGAAAGCCCAGAATTGGATTAGATTTGTGGGACTCACGAGGAATGGGACACCAATTACTTAATATCATTGAGTTTTTAGTATTATAT